CGACCGAACCCTAAACCCTAAACCCCAAACCCCAAACCCCAAACCCTAAACCCCAAACCCCAGACCCTAAACCCCAAACCCCAGACCCTAAACCCCAAACCCCTATAAACCCTAAACCCCCAACCCTTAGCCAACGGAACTCTGGAGCCTCGGCTGCTAGTGGGGTGGTCGTGGATGGGTTTAGGGTTCAGGGTTTAGGGTTTAGGGTTTAGGGTTAGGGTTTAGGGTTTAGGGTTTAGGGTTTAGGGTTTAGGGTTTAGGGTTTAGGGTTTAGCTCGCGAGTGAGGCTGAACCCGAAAGCCCAAAGCCGTAATGTAGGGGCCTACATCATTGGAATAGGGATTTGGCGTTCCTTATTATAACAAAAGTATAATATGCCCCAAAACCCTAGTCTAATATATTAAACCCTTGCTTCCCTACGCCGTTCCTGGACCCCCCCAAATTATGTAGGGTAACAGCCATTTTATAGGTGCCTGGCCAATATGTAGCCTGCTTTTGGTGGCTTAGGCCTCAACCCTAAACCCTATAAACCTGAGATCCTCAACCCTAAACCTACTGCTGGTGGTTTAGGTAAGCAATTCAGGATCCCTGAGCCCTAAACCCTACACCCCAAAAAATCCTAAACCCTAGACCCTAAACCCGACAGGATCAGGTGGGTCAACTACGAGGTCGGATGGCTACCGCCTTGGCCTTAGATGGGCTTTCATGGGGGTCCTTTGGATCTTTGGGGCATGTTCCAACTTTCTGGGGTTCACTTTAGGGTTTAGGGTTTAGGGTTTAGGGTTTAGGGTTTAGGGTCCATAACATCACCATTTAAGAATATTAAGATCCATGTGAAGAGCCCTTGTACAGACCCATGGGTTGCGGATCAGGTCCCGGAACCCCATAGAACCCTAAGGCCCTGCACCCCAAACCCCCTATAAACCCGAACCCCCTTAAACCTTAAACCACAAACCCTAAACCCGTAAACTCTAACCCCCATATAACCCTAAACCCCTAAACCCTGGACCCCAAACCCCTAAACCCCTAACACCCTAAACCCTAGACCCTGAACCCCCAACGCCCTCAACCCTAAACCCCAAGCCCTAAACCCCTAACGCCCTAAACCTTAGACCCTTAAAGCCTAGATCTTCAGCTGGAGTTCCTTGGTTTCGGTGTCTTGTAGTTCTCTGCGACCTGAACTAGAAAATTGGGAGTCCAGGCAAATTGAGGGGTTTAGGGTTTAGGGGGTTTAGGGGTTGAGGGTTTAGGGGTTCAGGGTTCAGGGTTTAGGATTTAGGGTTCAGGGGTTTAGGGTGTAGGGTTTAGGGGTTGAGGGTTTTCGGTTCATAGTTTTGACCGGGTTCTTCTAGGGGTTTAGGGTTTAGAGGCGTAAAGCCCTAAACCCGAAACTACATCTCAGCTTGTGGAACCCTAAACCCTATGGGTAGGATTAACCCTAAACCTTGCCCCCGGGACCCTCAACCCTACTTGTAGGTTCCTGATGCCGAAGATGTGGGGTTTAGGTTCTAGTTTAGTTTGCTATAGGGGGCCTTAATAATTACCTATACAATTTTGGGGATTCCTTATTATAATTATAGTATAATATGCCAAACTTTAGGCCCCTACATTAGGTTAGTGTTTCGGGTTTAGGATCTAAACGAGGCTGCCGGATTGCTCTACATGGGGACTGTGACGGGCTGAAGCGGGCGACCTTGCACAGCGGCAGACACAACGCAGACGCTGAATAGTTTGGAATACTACTCCTTGGGATTCTGTATTCTAACCGTTCTCACCATGGTACCCTAAACCCTAAACCCTAAACCCTAAACCCTAAACCCTAAACCCAAAACCCGAACCCTAAACCCTAAACCCCTAACCCCCCTATCTTATTTCGCGATTCTCATTCCAGGATGGACCGATCTCTTCTGCATTCCAGGGGCCCAGGGCCCTACAAGCCTAAACCCCATACCCCAAACCCTAAGGGTCCATGTACTCATGTAGTATATACATTGGCCCCAAAGTACCTATATAGGGACTACTCTAAGGCCAACATATATACTATTTGGGTACATGGACCCTTAGGGAAACCCAAGCTAAGCCATGGATCGGTTTGGCGGTGTAGCGTTGAGGCTTGGAAGTTCTTCTAGGATGCGAGGGTCTTTACGGATGCAGGTCATTTAGTGTGTGTTGTCCGGCGTGGGTGTTCTGGCATTAAGTTTTGTCCAGGCGGCTTCTTGACGAACCTTGAGCTTTGGCTCGTGGTTGTGCACACTCGCGAAGCCTAATGCCCCTACGCTAAACCTCAATGGAGCAATCTCTGCAAGGTTGGAATTGTGACGATTGATGCTTGATGTTGTTGGCTGCTACCTTACATTATGCCCTCAACCCTATTCTAGGTAGTACCAGGGAGACCCCTTGAAAGGGAGCCGTCTTAACCCTACTTATGGCTCTCTCAAAAGAGACCTTATGTATCCCCAAGGGTTTCCCTAATCCTAACTCCTACCCAAATCCCGAGGTACAGGTGAGCCTCAATACCATGAAGACTGCCCGGCCTGTATTTCCGGATTTTGAGTTAAAGGGTTTAGGGTTTAGGGTTTCCGGGTTTTGAGTTAAGGTTCCCGTTCCGGATCCTTTCACGTACTTGTCATTTTGGGTTTGCTGGCTTCCTGTAGTTATGCCGCCTTGCTGTGTTCTTCTCTACCTTTTGGATGGTTTTACCAAAGAGACTCTTCTGCAGTCCGAGGTTTCGGTTAGGGTTTGGGGTTTAGGGTTTAGGGTTTAGGGTTTAGGGCTAACCTAATCTACTAGCTGCAGTGTAAGCTTTAGGCTCCAAAGCTGAATTTGTGTTATGTTTGTGTGCCTCCGGAAAGCCACAGAAGAACCGTCAGCTTTTTGGATGCCCAAATACTGGGTCATGCACAGACCTGAGTCCGAAGATATTGGATATTTAGGACCAAGGGGCTCTTCATCATGTTCCTACACTTTCACCACTGATGTGAACGATGACGCCAGTGCCTAACCCACTAAGGATTCTGTCGGGGAAGGCAAACAACACGCACTCTATTCCCAAACCCTATATCCTAAGCCCTAAACCCTAAATCCGAACCCCCAAACCCGAAATCTTAAACCCTAAACCCAAAACCTTACAGAGTCCAGACCCTATATATGACATATTGCATATCCTCACAGAAGCGTGGGCTCTTTGATCGCGGTTTTGCAACACCTTCCCGAGAATCACAAGCTCTTACCCTTCCACTAAATCCTAAACCCTAAACCCCCATAAACCCCTAAATCCTAAACCCAAAACCCACCCCCTAAACCCTAAACCCTAAGCCACTGTAGACCTGTGGACCTGAGATACAAAGAGACATGAACCTCAAACCTCCTTAAAGTCATAAAACTGTGCCTAAAATCTCCCTAAACCTTAAATACCCTGAGCCCCAAAATCCCAAAACCCAACCCCCCCACCCTCCCAAAAAAAACTCCCTAAACCCTAAACCCCAAACTCCCTAAACCCTAAACAATAACCCTAAACCCTAACCCAAAACCCTATACCCCAAACTCCCTAAACCCTACGCAAAAACCCTAAACCCTAACCCTAAACCCCATACCCCAAACTCCCTAAACCCTACGCAAAAACCCTAAACCCTAACCCTAAACCCTATACCCCAAACTCCCTAAACCCTACGGAAAAACCCTAAACCCTATACCCCCGTCCAGGAAGAAGCTCTCTGAGACGAAGAGGCTGATACAAGGCTTCGAGCAGGCAGAAAGCATGCGAAAGCAGGAGGCCAGCATGGGTTTAGAGTTTTCTAGGGTTTCTAGGGTTTAGGGTTCATAGGGTTTAGGGTTTTCTAGGGTTTTCTTGGGTTGTCTAGGGTTTTCTAGGGTTTAGAGTTTAGGGTTTAGGGCGTACAAGGTTTATAGGGTGCCGAGTGCAGGTTCGCTATGATGTTTTGGGGTGCAGGTTCGGTTTGATGTTTCAGTGTTGTTTAGGGTTTCTTTAGGATGCAGTGTGATGTTTTAGGGTTTAGGGTTTAGGGTTTAGGGTGCAGGTTTGGTGTGATGGGTTTAGGGTCTAGGACGTACAAGGCTTATAGGGTTTATTTATTGCAGGTTCGGTGCGATGTTTTCAGTGTTTTTTTGAGTTTAGTGCGCAGGTTCGGTGTGATGTTTTAGGGTTTAGGGTGTATAAGGTGTTTAGGGTTTAGGTGCAGGTTCGTTGTGATGGGTTCTCGCTTGCTTTTGGAACCAAGTGAACCCGCCGAAACCCTAAACCCTAAACCCTAAACCTTTCGGATTAAATGCCAGTGCCCAATCCTACATCGTCAACTTTAGACTCTGATTCCGAAGCCCTAAGCCCTAAACCCTAAACCTTACACCCTTAAACCCTAAACCCTAAACCCTAAACCTTACACCCTTACACCCTAAACCCTAAACCCTAAACCCTCAGCACTAAACCCTAAACCCTAAACCCTAAACCCTAAACCGAACCTTGCAGCAGAGAAAGCGGAGCCCGACAGTTGTGCAGGGGTCCTGTGGTCGTTAGGGATTGATTGCCTTGAACGGCTTGATCCCTAAACCTTTAAGGTTTACGGTTTAGGGTTTAGGGTTTAGGGTTTAGGGTTTAGGGGTTAGGCTAAGGTTAGAAGTATGGGCCGCTAATATGGACCCTTCGGCCTTTCTAGGGACCCTTAAGGGTACATAAAGGGTATATAGTATCCATGATAGTAGGTGTACAAGGATCCCAGGGTTAAGCGAGCCCTAAAGGTTCCCTGTACCCAGCTAGTATGTACTTTGCGTTCTTCTGGTTGGCTCTTAGGACTTTAACAAGTTTTTGCTATCTATATGAACTATAGTAAGGATGCCAAAAGTTCAACTTTTAGGAGGGCTTCAGAAGTCAGCCAAGAATATCCCAGTTTCCAGAAAGCCGGTTTCTACCTCAACCTTTCAAGGCCCTCAGCCCCGGTTCCTTTAAGGGATCTTCAAGGGTTCTGTAGGGTTTAGGCTTTAAGGGTCCATGTGCCCAACTTGTAGATACTTTGGCCTTAAAGTAGTCCCCATAGAGGTACTTTGGGGTCAATGTATATACTATATTAGTACATGGACCCTTAGGGTTACAAACTCTGAGCCGTTACTTTCTGGCTTCTTCTGTAGGGTTAGGAGGTCTCTTGGGCTCACGGTTTCTGGGGCTAGGGTTTTAGGGTTCAGAGTTCTATAAGACGACAGAGACTTTCTTTGGGGGTAGGAGTTGTAGAAGGGATGTCAGGGGCCTCTTAGTGGTTTAAGGGTGTAGGGTTTAGGATGGTTTAGCCACTATAGAGTTTCGGCATTTTTGTTTGGGAGTGTGGGGTCTTTGGGTTTGTAGGCTGAGGGTCTCGGGGCTCTGACATTTGTGTTTGTTGCATTTAGGTCGGCTTCCTTCATGCGCGTGGAACACACACAAGACATGGCCTCCGGGGATACGCATGGACCAAATCTGATAGACAGAAACCCTAAACCCTAAACCCAAAAACCCTACACCCCTAAACACTACATTCTGCTATGTGGGTACTTAGGACCCTTTGGGATACTAAGCAGAACGATCAGATTCCCAGGCTCTTGATCGTCACGAAGCGGAGAAGATGACCTCACGCGCGAAGGCGAGCTGCTTGTTTTTAGGGTGTGTAAGTAAGTGTTAAGTTAGGGTTCAGGGTTTCGATGAGGTTTTGTAATTTTTAGCTTCAGGTTCGTAGGCTGTTAGGCTTACCGATAGTCGCGGCTGCTGGCCGGACGACAGGTCTCAGGTTTTAGGGTTTGATTATCCCCAGAAGCCTAAATTCAGGGTTTATGGTTTACCCTAAACCCTAAACCCTAAACCCTAAACCCTCTAAGTTTGCTTCGTGATTAGGTTGTCATTTTCATGTTTCTGTGGCCTTTGGATTCACAGGCGTCTTTGCTTCGGGGGATGATTAGCTTAGGTTGTTGGCGTTTAGCCTTTCGGGTTAAGTAGATGATTCTGAATTCTGACGTTTGCCACGGTGACGGTGACATTGCATGAATCGTAACTCTAAGTGGCCTCTACGCACCAAGACTTTCGAGTTTGATACTCAAAAGGTTCACGCCTAGACCTTAGATCCTACCCTGAACCCCACACCCTAAACCCTAAGCCTTAGATCCTAAACCCTAAGCCCTAAACCCCACACCCTAAACCCTAAGCCTTGGATCCTAAACCCTAAGCCCCAAACCCCACACCCTAAACCCTAAGCCTTAGATCCCGAACCCTAGGCCCTAAACCCCACACCCTAAACCCTAAGCAACCGTGAAGCTCTATTCTCTGAAACTTCAAGGCCCGGAAGCTCTGTGGTATAATGGGCACCCAAACCCTATTCTAACTATTAAGGCCCCTATATTACACCTCACCTGCTGCCCAAGACAGTGACCTCTTCCAGGCTTCCAGTGAATCCTTTCGGCCATTTCCGTGAAAAAGGCAGGGTTTGTTTAAGTATACGGTTTAGGGTAAGTATACTTCCCCTTACGATGGCAGGTTCTTTGCACTAGCCCTAAACCCCAAAACCCCAAAACCCTAAACCCTAAACCCCACACCTTAAGCCCCTCAACCCCTAAACCCCAAAACCCGAAGCCGTGTGGGCCCAGGCCCTCATGGAGAAAGTCCGGCCGAAGCTGGAGGAGGCAGTTCCGTTTAGAGTTGACCATTGCTGTTTCCTGGGTTTAGGGTTTAGGGTTTAGGGTTTAAGCCGGAATCGCAGGAACAGAGGTACTCTTGGGCATTATTCAGCGGATAGGGGGAGCCAAGCATACTTAAACTAGGCTTGTGGGTTTAGTTTAGGGTTTGGCGTTGGTTCGATCAGTCCATGTATCGGCTTAGTTTTGTGTAGGTCCAGAAAATCAATCTAGATGCCCTAGATCCTAAATCCTAAACCCTGACGCCCAAACCCCAAACTCTGAAGCCCCGAACCATAAACCCTGAATTCTAAACCCTTCACCCTAAGCTGTAAACCGCAAACTTCTTTCTTCCACAGAGGGCAGACAACCTTCAAACGGCTGCAAGGGTGGGATGAAGGTAGGTGGGGTAATCTAGGGTCTCGGGTTTAGGGTTTAGGGTCTAGGGTCTAGGGTTTAGGGTTTAGGGTTTAGGCCTCCTTAAATGAGGGATCCTTCATCCCACCTTTTGAGGCCTCCAAATCCTCGGCACAGGTGATTCCTCAAGCAGAAGCTTTGTTGGAAGCTGGCATCACCAGCGAAACAGCCGAGGCAGAGATGGTCCAGCGACGATCGTTTTTTCGGGTTCAGGTGGTTGGATACCTTGGGTTTAGGGCTTCGGGTTTAGGGTTCAGACTGTTTGGGATCCAAACATAATGAGTCTGTCATTCTCCTCGGATTTTGTATCTGGGTGATGCGAGGGATTCGGAGGCCTGGGGCTCGATGCATCCTCTCACGACTGTTGCCTTAGACCCCAATCCCTAAACCCTAAACCCTAAACCCCAATCCCCAATTCCCCAAAGCACCAAAACCCTAGACCGTACACGATGTCTCCTGTCAGGATCACGCACATGCCTGGGGTGCGAGTTCAGTTGCCATCTGAACAGAGGTACCTGGAGAGCCCGAGATACTCCTGTAGTAAGGAACTTGTCTCAAATCGAAGTAGTGTTAGGCTCCCTTTTGCTTAAGATGATAAGCCCTGTTTTGTTTAAGCGCTCTGCGTTCGGATTCCACAGGCTCGTGTCTCTTCACCTCGACAAATGAGGGGTTGGGGTTCCCTAAGTTCCGAGGCTTCCGGCCGAGGCCATGACCCCTTCGCTGAAGACTCCGTGATTCAGATTCAGGATCCGTTCTTTAAGGTTTAGGGCTAGGGTTCAAGTTAATTCTTCAGGTAGATTCCTTGCTTCAGAGTTTTTTGGAGTCCCTGGGAGAAATCCTAAGTCCCAAACCCTAAACTCTAAAACCTAAACGGCCCTAGACCCTAAACCCTAAACTCGAAACCCTAAACCCTCAACCCTGAACCCTAAACGGCCCTAAACCCCAAAACCCTAAACCCTAAACGGCCTTAAACCCTAAACCCCTAAACCCTAAACCGAATCGGCATCCAGGCGTTGATCAATTCCGAGAAGGCGATGCAAGAGCTCTACGAGGCACGCAAAGGTTAGGTTTAGGGCTTTAGGGGTTCAGGGGTTTAGGGGTTTTTAGGATTTTAGGGGTTTCAGGGTTTACGGATTTTGGGGTTTAGGGTTTAGGGGTTTAGGGTTGAGGGCTGAAAGATGGTTAGCTGTGTCTCGTGTCAGCGATGTGATGGGTGTACTCATCCATCCAGCCCATCCATCCCATCCCCCCATCCAGCCGTCACACCACAAGGAGAGGGAGGTCGATTTGGGGTTGTGAAACAGGCTTCAGGGTCTGAGTGCTTTCTGGCCTAGCATAGGGGCCTCAACAATTAGAATAGGGTTTGGGGGTCCTTTGCACCATACTTTTAATAAGGAACCCCCAAACTACTATAGGTAATGATTAAGGCCCCTACATTACCTGCAGCCGAGAGTTCGGCGCAGGCGATCGTCGACATGCGGAATCAGCTGGCGAAGGAGAGCTTGCAGGGTGATAGTCCCAAGCCATTTTTAGGGTTCAGGAGTTTAGGGTTGAGGGTTACATGGTTTCGGGATATGGTGCTTGATTTTTTAGGGTTTGGATTTCTTGTTTGGGGTTTGGAGTTGAGGGTTGCGGATTTGACAAGCAATTGGCAATATGATAAGGCCTTGGGATCTCCGATCTGTCATACTATGACAGACCCTTGCCCCTTTCAACATGTTCTGAAAATCTCACTGTCAAACTATACGCCGAAGTCTCCGAAACTTCAATCCCTAAACTGTAGCCGCCCTAACCCGAAGCCCCTAAACCATAACCCCTCAACCACAACCCTAAACCCCAAACCCCCAAAAAATGAAACCCTGCCACCGGGTCCTGGCTTCGGGTGAATCCTAAGCCCCACTAGTCGCGACCATCTGAGGGTTTATGAGAGTTGAGGAATTAGGCTTGAGGTCCTGGAAGCCCTTCAACAAAAACATATATATATATATGTATGTATACACATGTGTGTATATATATATATATATGTATACATATAGCCGGACGCGGGAATTAAGACGCACCTTGGTTTTCATTAAAAAAAAAAGTTTTTTGGTGTTTAAAGGCTATGTTTTACCGGAATCGGGTGTTTACCCCAAGCACGGCGTCAGACCCTTACAGGGAGACAGCGCGTCTTGAATCCCGCGCCCGCCTACATATATATATATATATATATATATATATACACCCCGGGTAGTAGAATCCGTGTTTTCCTAAACACTAGTTCTAGCAAACTCCCAATCTGCAGGACAAGCAAGCCGTTCGGTATGTGCGGCAAGGTCCTTTGCTTCAGGCACGCCATAGTTCACATGGGCTACTCGACACTGCAGCCGAAGCAATATGAAGAGGCTTAGTTAGGGTGTGTGTAAATCTATGTGTATATATATATATACATATGTATGTGTATAGGTATATACCTATATTTATATAAATGTATGCATATGTATATGTACATGTACATGTATATGTATATGTTTGTATATCTGTATGTATATGAAAATATGTCTATACACATATAAACACACATATATGTATGTATGTATGTATGTATGTATGTATGTCTGTCTGTCTGTATGTATGTATGTATGTATGTATGTACGTAGGTATGTATGTATGTATGTATGTATGTATGTAAGTACGCATGTATGTATGTAAGTACGTATGTATGTATGCATGCATGCATGCATGCATGCATGCATGCATGCATGCATGCATCATGCTGATCAGGAATGGGTTGTACTAGCCGCAAAAAGTCCCTTCCAGACCTCCGACATGAGGGCTTTCAGGTTCCAGGGTGTTGCGACAGTATAGTACGGTTGATGATATAAAGCCGGCATTACCCATAATAAGGAATATACCATAATTCCCACAGTTTCGGGTCCTTAAGGTAATGCAGGATTTATATCATTAACAGTAGTGTTGCATGGTTTCGGATATTTCCTAAGCCTACTCAGAGGATCATGGGACTTAGTAGAGTCATGTGGGAGTTTCCGAAAATTAGGGGTACCTTATTTTGGGGTCCTTATAATAAGGATCCTACTATTTGGGGTACTATATTAGGGTCCCCTATTTTCGGAAACCCCCATGTAGTTGCGTGACTACGATCTTGTAGAGCCGAGCGCTCAGAGTTGAGTCACTAAGGTAAGCTGTGGGCTCCAGGTACACCTTGAAACCTGCGACATCGGCCCTGTAACCCTAGACTCCACTCCAAAAGACGGAAGAAGTCAATGAGTCCTCGGGTAGGGGTTTAGGGGTTTAGGGTTTAGGGTTTAGGGTTTTAGGGTTTAGGGTTTAGGGGTTTAGGGACTAGTAGTTTAGGGTTTAGGGGTTAAGGGTTTAGGGTATATACTGGCAATGCAAGGACCCCAAGCTTGAACAGTTAGGCTGAGGTAAAGATTTCCATACGGATGGCCTGTGCGAGCCCGAGAAGACCCTTAGCCCAACCCAGACTGCTGGAAGGATCCCTTAATCTAGGACATTTCCAGGTGGGTAGTTGCCGTTATGGAGCCTTATGGAAGGTCTATATACCGTATGGAAGCCTTATAGAAGCTGTAGTGTCCTTTAGCTTAAGTGGGTTCCGTCCAAAGTACCCTTTAGTTGTGTAAGGTCCCAAATAAGGGGATCTACTTTTTGTATTCTTCCGGCGGTCGAACCCTTTCGACAGCCAGGACTTCAGCAAGTCGACTGCGTATCGTCTTTTCTCAGCCCTTCGTAGATAGGTCTAATTGCACCCGCAGCCTTAGCGGTGAACCCGCTTTTGGGTTTAGGGTTTGAGCCCAAGTTTGAGTTACAAGACTGCTAAGAGATCGCCATAAGATTTGCATGCTTTTGCGCAGCACGCTGCAAAACTGCCGTGCTCATGATACCAAGCCCTGAACCATGAAACCCAAAGTCCCTATCCTAAGCCAGGGTTCTGCTATGGCGATCAGTGGCCACGATTCTTTTCAGTTCGGTGAGCATGCACTTCACTTCAAGCCCCGATCCAAGCCCAAAGCACTTTCCTTTGACCTCCCTGAAGCCTAAGCCCTAAACCCTAAACCCTAAACCCTATAAACCCTAAACCCTAAACCTAAACCTTAACCCGACAAGTATCTTGAATGAGCAGGTCTGGGATGTCGTGACCGCACAACTCAATGAGATTTGGACGCCGGAGCGCGCTTGGGTGGGGTGGGCTGCTGAACTGTTACGGTTTGGGGTTTATAGGTTTAATATAGGGGCCCTTAATGATTAGAACAGGGTTGTGGGGTATACTATAGTATAATCATAAAAAAGGAACCCCCCAAAACAGTATGGGTAGTTATTAAGGCCCCTATTTTTTTAGCCAACAGTATTCACAGAACTCGGAACTCCATGTTCTTATCGTTTCAGGGCTGGGATTTGTTTCTGCATCCAATGTCCAAGGTTCAAATCTTAGGTAAAGTCATGGGGGACTACTTGTCTAGGGTTTAGGGCTTAGGGCTGCAAGGATGAGTGGAGTTTAGTGCAACTTGCTAAACCCTAAACCCTCAACCCTAAACCCTAAACCCTAAACCCTAAGGCAAGTTGTGCAAGTTGTAAGGTGGGTGAGAAGTTGAGCAGGACCCCAGCCTGGGTTATCCTACTTGAAACACTTCTTCTAGCCCGCCGAGTTGGTCCCATGAGCTGCCTTTTAAGGTTTAAGGTTTAGGGTTTTAAGTTCTTTAAGACCTAACCCTAAACCCTAAACCCTTAAACCCCTAAGCCCTAAACCCCTAAACCCTTAAAGCCCTAAACCCCTAAACCCTTAAAGCCCTTAAAGCCCTAAACCCTAAACCCTTAAACCCCCAAAGCCTTGCAGGAGGAGAAGACTCAGCAACTCTTGCAGATCCTGCAGGCGCGCAGCCGAGTTGTTCTAGCTTCCTGGTTAGGGTTTAGGGTTTCAGGGTTTAGGGTTTAGGGTTTAGGGTTTAGGGTTTTAGGGTTTAGGGTGTAGGGTTTAGGGTTAGGGGTTGGGGCTTCAGGACATAGGATTCTCGGTGGTTTTGAGCGTGGAAGTTGGCATTTAGGGGGTCTCGACCACTTCAGCGTGTTTCTCAGTGTTTCACGAAGGTACCCTCAGCGTCTTGCAATATGCCAAGGTTTCAGTTTCTAGGATTTGGGATGAGGTTCTGGTTGGAGGAGTAGGAGCTAAGGGTTTATGGTATGCCTGGACCCCAGAATAGTTACCGACTGTTCTAGGGCACCTAATTATGATATCCAGCTGACGCCAAGCCGTTCTCTGAATAATACCCGAACTGTCAGTCAAGGGTTTACTTTAATATATATTAATATATTAATATACATATATATATATATATGTATAATCGGAAGATTCTCCGCCCAACTCATGATTTCACCGAAACCCCAAAGCCGGAAAACTTTAATCCCTTGAGCCCCTGCCTGAGCCCTAAAAAACCTGCTATGTTAGGGTTCCCATTTATGATTTCCCTATAGAAGTCTTGAAAAGGGTAAGGTTTAGGGTTTAGGGGTTTAGGGTTTAGGGTCCAGGCAGAGGGTTCAATGGTTTCTACTTCAGGAGAAGAGGAAGAAGCTGACATCGGATGCACAGAGAGCCGTGGCGAGCGCCATCCGGGAGGCCTTTTGGGGTTACTTCCGAGTTTCCTCGCAGGGTTCTTTTATTTATGGAATCCTTAAGGGAGGGGGTTGTAAGGGGGGTATTTTAACCCAGTAATCCCCAATTTTCTCTAGTACTCCCTTAGGTTCCCAAAAGCTCCCTAGGACCCTCCCCCCTTGAGCCACCCTCCCTTAAGGATCCTATAATTTAAGGGTTCCTCGGCTGCAGCGTTTGGTATTTGGGCTGGTCGGACAGATTAAGGGTTTGGAGTTCCAGATTTAGACCTTAAGCCCTAAACCGACGGCATAGAGTTCAGGCGTTTCGGGGTTTATGGGTTGGGGCGCTGCAGGGTTGCGGGCTCCGTGTCCAGGCTTTTGAAGTGGGTTTGTCTGCAGGTCTTATTGGATTTGTGGGTTTAGGGTATTGGGGTTTAAGGTTTTGGGGTTTGGGGGTTTGAGGTTTTGGGGTGTAGGTTCAGGGTTTAGGGGTTCAGGTTATAGCTTGGACCCCGGATCAGCAAGGGAGCTCCTTATATAAGAAGCCTGCATAAACTCGCAAGCCTTGCCTTGTTAATGAGCATTAGCGTCAGGAAGTTTTCTCAACAGCGTTCCACAATATAGCCCTGAAATCCTTGGCTAAGCAAGATAACAGCCTTATCAAGCCTCAGCACAATTCTCATATCATCCTTCGAAAAGCATTGTAGTAACATTGGGGGAACATGCTCCGGTGCCATCGTTCTCAACAGCCTGAGAGCAACCTGAAGTCAGCAATGGCTCGATGTTCGGGTTCCAGAGGTCAAGTCCACCTGAAAGCTGCCATATGGGTAGGTGTCAAAATTATGGTCCCTTTTTGGGGTACCCAAAATAATAGGGTCCGTATCGTAACAAGGACCCAAAAAGGGACCATAATTTTGACAACCACCCGTATTAAAAGCATGTTAAAACTATCCCTTGCGCCGAGACTCTAACACCCCGGCCCAGTCTTGTAAGTAAGTCCCAAACAAAACCTTTTGGCTTCGATGCCTGAAGCCGAAAAGATGAAATGCGCCGTTGATCATGTGGTGCAGAGGCTGCAAACAAGGAAGGGCTCCGCGTCGAGGCTCGCAGTGGTTGAAGGGGAAGGTTGTGGCGTAGATGTTGGATCTTTCACGTCTGATTACCTGTTTTCTGTGGTTCGGGGGCAGCGTGCACTGTGCACTGTGCACGCTTTTTGTTCAACGCACCTATGCGTTGTAAGAAATCCGACCTTTGACTCTTATTGGAGGTTCCCTGTCTCGCCCCAACTCCAAAGCGGGTTTAGGGTTTGGGGCTTTAGGGTTTAAGGGCCTCTAGGGTTTAGGGGTTTAGCGTTTTAAAATTTTAGAGTTCATGTATTTAGGGTTTAGAGCCGAATACCTTCTCTGAAGGAGGATACCTTGAATCATGACTTCATGATTTGGTTTGAATTTCATTCCTTAGTTCAGGATGAACGCCCGTGCTAAACATGAGACGTGAGACGACAGACAAGTAAATTTCAAAATTGCTACACACTTTACCCCTTACCCCAAGCCCTAAGTCTCCGCAAGTTTGGCTTACCTTTGGTCCTGCGACAGAGCACGAAAAGGAGTAGTCCGGCATTTAGGGTCTAAGCGCCCCACTCAGGAGAAGTATTGCCACCTTTTGGTGTTAGATCCTTTGAAGCCCCAAACATCGGCTTACATCCTTTGCTCCATCTGTTGGAACCCTAAACCCTAAACCCCTAAACCCTAAAGACTAAACCCTAAACCCTCCCATCGCGGTTGTTGCACGTAAGCTGCCCAGCTCGAGGGTCGGCGGATGTTGACATGGAGGTCGATCTCGAAACCGACACTGGCGAGGTTGGTTTAGGGTTTAGGGTGCGCCACAGCCCGCCAGCTGGTGCTGCCGACGCTGCCGGTGAAGCGATGGGACGACGGCCGTGAACCGCAAATGTCCATCTCTCTTCATCCATTGATGCCGGGACACTGCACCCGAGCATAGGGCATAAGATAGCTAAAAGGAGGGAGGGATGGATGTGGTTTTGGTAGCCCGATGACAGAGTTGGCAAGCGGATTCCTAGTGCTAGAGCACCGAATGAGGCAGTCTGCAAGACCCTCTGCCAAAAAAACATATAGAACCCTAAACCTAAACCCTCAGCAACCCTAAACCCTAAGACCTAAACCCTAAACCCTGAACCCTAGACCCTAAACCCTAGACCCTAGACCCTAAACCCTAAACCCTAAGCTGAACTCTTAATCTGCCCTAAGCCCTTCCTCTGCCCTTTTATAAATGCCCTTTATAAAACCAGCGCTGCAGCAGCTAAGAGAGAGAAGGAGGCTGGACAGAGAGAAACACTGCATGAAGTGGGGCTTTCTAATAATTCTTGGGGTTTAGGGGTTTAGAGCTTAGCAGTTTGGTTTTGGATTTAGGGTGTAATTAGGGTGTCACATTGGGGCTGCGAGTGCAAAAAGGCTTCCGGTTGAAAGCTGGCGAGTGCAGGCTTCGGTTTTGTTGTGGTGAGACTCGTGATACAGCCGGCGGCACGCCACAGCTTCAAACCTAGGCCCTGCAGCTTAATTACACACTTCACTAAACCCTGAACCCAAAGCCGTAAACCCCTAATCACTAAACCCCTAACCCATAAACCCTAAACCCTAAACCCTAAACCCTAAACCCTAAACCCCTAAACCCTAAACCCTAAACCCTAAACCAAACTTATGCCCTACAAATCTTCGGCCCCAACGATCCTCAGCTTTGTTTAGGGTTTAGGGTTTAGGGGTAGCCTGAACGTCGAACCCTCAATCCTAAACCTCGAACCCTTAAATCCTTAGCCTCAAATCGTAAGCCCTCCTAAACCCTAAACCCCAAGCCCCGGACCTCGAACCGAAAGCTCCTTATATCCTAGGTAGTATCAGGGAGACCCCTTAAAGGGGGACCCTTCTGAACCCCACTTGTGGTTCTTTTAAACGGGACCTTGTTGAGAGGGTCTATATCCCCGAGGGTCCCCCTAATCCTAGCTCCTATTATCTCAACCGTGAACCGTCGTTTTGCTGGGGCTTTTGCTAAGGGTCCATGTGCCCATTTAGGGTTCCCTAAAGGGATCTTCAAGGGTTTTGTGGGGTTGAGGGTTTAAGGGTCCATGTACCCAAGATATTATTTGCTTTGGCCTTCAAGTAAGTACTCCCTATCTAGGTACTTTGGGGCCAATGTATATATATATATATACACACTCTATGAGTACATGGACCCTTAGGGTTTGAACCTGGGTCTCCCAGTAGTTGCCCTCTGCCTGTTCATTTTCAGGGGTTCTGAACTTTAACAGGGTTTAGGGTTTAGGGTTCAGGTCCGAACTTTATACTTTATAAGTAATGCTGGAGAGAAAATCGGGGGTACCCTTATGCCCTGGAATGCGGGACAGTCCGGGGAGGCTTTGTTCGAGAAGCTCCGCAAAGAGAAAGCCACCATTCCCGTGCAGGATGGTGGTTTCTGCTAGAGCTTTAAGGGGGTTTAGGGTGTAGGGTTTAGGGTTTAGGGTTCAGGTTTTGGGGTTTATAAGGGTTTAGAAGGGGTTTAGGCGGAGGCTGCTAGGGTTTCCTGGATTCGGTAGGGGTTTATTTATGGTTTCAGGGCGTTGGATTTACGGGTTTAGGCTTTCTGGAGCTTCAGGGTGTCAGGGGTTGGAGTTCACTGGCTATTAGACTAAACCCTAAACCCTGAGCCGTATACACCCTAAACCCTAAAACCTAAACCCCTAAACCCTAAACTCTAAAGCTCTAAGCCTAAACCCAAACCGTTTCGGGTCTTGGTGGCGATTGAAGAACTCTTCAGGGTTTACCAGGAGCTTCGCGACACTTGTAGTTTCTCTTATGGCGTTGTTACCCCCAAACCCTAAACTAAACCCTAAACTGTATATATAACCCCTAGACCCCAAACCCTAAACCCCAAACCCTAAGCCCTAAACCCTTAACCCCAAACCCTAAACCCTAAACCCCAACCCCCAAACCTAAGCCCTAAACTGTATAGACTATAGAGGTACCTTTTTCATGAGCAACCCAGACCTTCCAGAACCCCTTAATTGGTTAATCTGCCCTAAATCATTATTAGCGTTTAGGGTTTAATATAAGGGATCCTACTATAATTTAAGGTATACTCCTAGGTTGTAGTTCCTTTTTATGGACAAGACTCTGGTCCAGAGGTTTGCTCCAACTGGCCGGCCGTGCAGGGAGTCACAAGGCGATCTGAGCGCACACCACCAGGACTAGGTTCCCCAGTAGTACCTTTTTGCCCTTTTTCTTTTTGGGTTCCCTTATTAAAACCAAATAGTAGAAAAAGGGTACCCTGATTATTAAGGGGCTACTGGGGAACCTAGAGGACAATGTGCACAATCATGCAGTACCTTGGTCTCAGTGAGCCCACACTTTCCACTGCTGTGTTGGTGATGGACCAGCGGGACCTCGACAAGGACTTGGTGTTCATCCCAGAGGGCGAGCTGAGTGCCCTCTACGAGAGTGTGTTCGCTTCGAGCCCATTTGTGGGCTGCGCTGCCGTGTGCAAGAATTTACCCCAAATCACATGACGGATCCTATTTTCTAAACCCTAAACCCTAAACCGCCCTAAGTCCTTACCTACATTGTAATTCCTTTTCGTGGTTTGATATTTAGGATCCTTGCTCGGTGCTCCCCAAGAAGGAGCTGCAATGAAGCCGACGGGTACTTCGGTGATCTTTGGAAGGTCTGGGAACTTGTCGGAGCCCTTAGTACAAGCCAGCTTAGGGGTTCAGGGGAAGGCTCTTTGAGGTTGGTGGTAATATAGAAGCCTAAATACTTGCCAATATTATTGCTAGGGTTCCGTATTATAAATATACTATAAAGGAGCCCCCAAAACCCTATTCTAATAATTAAGGCCCCTACATTAAGCACCTTTAAAGCTCTACGGAGTATCGAACCCTGTAGAGCCAGTACTGTACATAGTACAACGAAACCCTGACCACACCTGATGCATCCACTATCACGCCAGCATGACAAAAGCAGTATGTTCAAACCCTACACCCGTACACCCCTAAACCCTATACTACTAACGCCATGATCCCCAACACCTTGAATCTTGCAAACCCTAAAGCCCTAAAAGCGTGAAGCCCTAAAACCCTAAACCCTAAGCAAAAAGCCTTAGCCCTTAGAAATACCCTACCGAAGGAGCTCTCGACCTTCGTGAGCTCTGCAGCGTTGCAGGCTGGGGAAGATCCCCAAAGGGATTTGTAGACGTTTGGAAAGTTCGCTAACTCAGGGTCCCCTTTTTAAGATTCCCAATATAGTATGGCACCCTTATAAAAAGGATCCTACAAGGGACCCTAATTTAGAGAACCACAAAATGAGGTTTAGGGTGAAGAGTTTGACAAGGGTTTAGGGTTTTTCAGATGTCAATTAGGCTTCAAGGTGTAAGGTTTGTGCAGGGTTAGTTGCTACTAGGGATACTGTAAGATACTTATTTGGGGTTAAGGGCTTTTGTTGTGGGGCTTCGTGATTTTACATGACGGTGCCCTTATAAGGAGTACAGCCTTTATTGGACAGAAGCGCCCTTCACAAGCTTTTTTTTTAATCCTAACCCTAAACCCTAAATCCTAAATCCATTTACTTTGAGTTTTGGTGTTTGGGTTTTTGGGGGTGCGGAGTTCTGGGTTTGACAATTTAGGGAGCTACCATTTTCTCCATTGAAGACTCCACAGCGCATCGTTAGGCTTAGTTGGAGCACTCGCACGATCCTCCGGAAGGTTCAGCGCGTTTGGAGGAGAAAAATATGGAGCGGGCAATGGCTCTCTGAGCTTAGAATGCGTTGTCAGCGAACTGGAGAGTGCTCGCGTGGTTTAGGGTTTAGGGTTTAGGGTTTAGGGTTTAGGGCAACAGGTGGAGTCCGTTTTGCTCTTCTTGCTGAAGCTCTTGCGCTGCTGCAGGCCCAGTCAGTGTCCACTACGCATTGGTGGAAGAAGACAGCACGGTCTTGGCCTTTTCCGGACTTGACCCAGCACTGCGAGAGCAACATTTTCGGGGGTTTAGGGCAGAAGCCCTAATCCCTAAACCCTGAACCCTAAACCCTAAACCCTAAACCCTAATCCCAAAACCCCTAAACCTAAAAAAAAAAAACCTAAACCCCTAAACCCAAACAGTTCGGGGCTTAGGGCATATAGGGGATCCCCCTTCTTCATCCCTTGGCCCTAGCCCTATAGATGCAAAAAGCCCTAACATCCTAAACGGTTTTTGGTAGGGTTAGGGTTTAGGCTTTGGGGCTTAAGGCTTAAGCTTTAGGGTTTCGGGTTCAGGGTAGTGTTTAGGGTTTAGAGCTTCAGGTTTAAGGTTTCGGGCTCAGGGTCGTGTTTAGGGTTTAGGGTTTTCGAAACCCTGAACACCCCGTCCGGGCCCCCAAAATAGGTGGAGCGCGAGCCTTCTTGTGGGTGTTGGGCTCTTCTTCGACCTACTCTTAGGGGTGATATAGAGGCCAGAATATTTGCCAACACTACTTGGGGGCATAATAATGAAAGTGTAATGGTTTAGGGTTTTGGGTTGTAGGGCTTTAGGGTTTAAGGTATTGGGCGTTCGGGTGGTTCTTGATCTCAAACCCTAGCACGACCCCGCCCGGCTTCAGGCGAGCGAGATCCAACTCGGCTTAGAACGGTATGAGGCCGGCCACTGCCTGCAGCATGCCCGGTCTGTTTATGAACAGCTTGCTCGACGCAGGGACTTTTCAGCTCACTTTGCCAGGCTTCCCGGAACCTCAAACCTTTAGACCAGAACTAGAACCACTGCAGAAAGCAAAGCCTTGTTTTCGTGTTTTCTTGTTTGTAACCTCCCTCAAAAGCGCAACAGCGATGTGTCCCAGACCCAGCTGCAAGCTGTCTACCTGAGCCCGAGATATGAAACCGTACCGCGGTCGCTAGGCCAGTGGCTTCACGAAGTTGGGCCTGACGCTGCTGCTGCAGGACATTGGTTTGCCACAAACCCTTTCCCTAATACCCCAACCCTAAACCCAAACCTCTGCAACCTTTGGTATCAGTGGTTGACGTTGACTTAGGGTTTAGGCATACAGCCTGTAGCATCTGATGTTTCAGGATTCGAACATATATAGACCGCGAGGGTGGTGGAGGCTGCGCAACACCACCAAGGGCTTTCAACAAGCAAGAATCAAAGGTAGTCGCCGCAACCCAAAGCCTTAGTCCTAAACCTGAAGCTGTACATGCCCCAAACCCAACAATGGTTCAGGACTACATGAAATGCATCAAAGAGGTCGTCATGACGGACCTTTTTGATGTGAAGGAAGGGAAGACGGCGTGGCCCTCGCACGGATGCTTCAAGATTTGAGGGTCTGGTGTTTAGTGGCAGGGCTTACTTGTGGCCCAAAAGACCTACCTTTTAAGGCACTATATACACAAACCATAGTATGGAACCCCAGAAAGGTCGATCTTTTTCGGCAGCAGGTAATCATGTCGGCCCTGATGGTGTTGTTTTGAGCTTCGCTACCCCAAAAACAGTAGGCTCACTCTCACGAATCCGAAACCCCGAAGAAAGACGAAGAAATACAAGCCCTTCGGGCGCCTGAATGCAGTCATCTTAGTTCCCCAATATCCAACCTTTAAACTTTTTGGGTTCTTATAACTTGGTGATAATCTGAAACTTCAACCTTGTATTTCCCTGGCTTCTTGGGGAAGTAAGTCATAGTACAGTGTGTGTGTACCCCACCAAGCTGCTTTCACTACGAGTATTGTTATGATCATGATTCTGCTTCTTCTTCTTCTTACCAGACTTTTTCAAATTTTTGAGGCCCTTAGATCATCAACCCCAAAGCAGCTTAAGACGCAAAATCGTACCTAGGTGAAGAAGCTGTCTTTCGGCGACATGGTTGAGGCAAGCTTGTCTCGTACCGCCTGCATCTGCGAGGTTTAGGCCCTACCGACACCCCATAAATAGATAGACCACCATTTTGGTCTACTTGTTTTTTCATTTCCTTGGAAAAGTCCTGAAAAGGTAGGTTTGGGGGAGTCCAGGTATAGGGGTTAGCGCTTAGGGACCTCGATGATCCGATATAGCGTGCTGAATGGTCGTAAGGTTTGGGGTGCTTTCTATTACAAAACCCTAAACCCCTAAACCCCTAACCCCTAAACCCTAAACCTAAACCCCTAAAGCCCCAAAACTCTAAACCCTAAAACCCTCCGTCCAACAGCGTGAACCATGATCCTGAAACGCCTAGAGCCCCAAAAACAACATGCCGAAATCGTGACTAATGCAGGAGCCCTCATAACTTGAAGCAAGGCCAGGTGGCTATGTTGCAGTGTGTTGAAGTTTGTATTCTGGAACTGTAAGGAATACTAGTGGCAGTTATCCAGGCCTCCTTATTCGGGGCCTTACCCAGACCCCCGGAAGAATCTTGAAAGTAGAACCCCTAATTTGGGGACCCTTACTAGCACAAGGTACTTTATGGGAACCCTCTTAAGGGATCTACTTCCTAGATCCTTCCAAAGGTCTAGGCATATGGGGGTTTCCGAAAATAGAGGACCCTAATATAGTACTTAGTAGGATCCTTATTATAAGGAGCCCAAAATACGGTACCCCTTATTTTCGGAACCCCCGCCAAAAAAACGTAAACCCTAAACCCCTAAACCCTAAAACCTTAAACCCTAAACCCTAAACCTTAACCCCAAACCCCTAAACCCTAAAAAAGGACCCTTAGAAGCCCTCAGTCAGAGCCTCTCTGAGAGGTTTTGGAGCCGGGGAAGGATGATGAGTCTGGCTTGACTCGTACCCAACTTAGCTGTTCAGCCGTTTAGGGTTGAGGGGTTAAGGGGTTTAGCTGTTTAGCCGTTTAGGGTTGAGGGGTTTAGGGTTTAAAGTTTAGCCGTTTAGGGTTTAGGGCTGAGGATTTAGGGTTTAGGGTTTAGGGTCTAAGGTTTAGGGCTTAGGGTTTTAGGGGTAGGAGAAGCCCTATACTGTCGCAACACCCGCCAGCAACGACAGTTGACGGTTGAATACACCCTAAATCCTAAACCTAAAACCTTCAACCCTAAGCCCGCAATCCGGTCTGCTGTAGGTGTCAGTACGCTCTGTGCTAGTGTTCCTTGAGGTTCCCCAAGATATCTGTAGCCCTAAGGGCCCTACGGGTCCATGTGCCCACATGGTGTGCCTTGAAGGGTCCCTTCTAGGGTTCCTTTAAGGGATCTTCAAGGGTTCTGTAGGGTTTAGGCTTTAAGCATCCATGTGCCTAGCTAGTAGTTACTTCGGCCTTATATTCGTTAAGGTTCCCCACGATATCTGTAGTCTCCAACCCGGCAAAAGCCCTACGGCTGATGATATAAATCCTGAATTACCCATAATAAGGAATAGACCATAATTCCCATAGTTTTGGGTCCATAAGGTAATGCAGGATTTTTATCATCAACAGTAGTACAAACCTTTAGGGTTGCATAGTGCGGTTGAGATGATGCTCGTATTGAAGCCCTCGTACTAAACCCCAAACCCTAAACGCCCCAAGCCCTGAAGCACAGAATCCGAACCCTAAACCCTAAACGACCCAAGCCCTGCAACGCAACGCCCTAAACCCTAAACGGCCCAAGCCCTGCAACACAAAACCCTAAACCCCAAACCTCGAAACACAAAACCCTAGACCCCAAACCTCGAAGCACAAAACCCTTAAACCCTAAGCCCCACAAGGCCCCTTCAAAACAAAACAAACACAAACCTCGAAACACAAAACCCTAAAGCTTGAAACCGAAGCTGTAAACTGCCCTGATTCCGTAAACCCTAAACGAGCCGGCGACTCCGAAACCTCTTTATAAAGGAACTTTAAGGTATGGGCTTTAGGATTTTGTGTTTAACGGCGTGGGGCCTTTATGGTTCAGGGTTTAGGTTTTAGGGTGAAGGGCTCAGGTTTTAGGGTTTAGGGTTTAGGGTTTAGGTTTTAGGGTGAAGGGTTTAGGTTTTAGGTTTTAGGGTTTCGGCTTTAGAGTTTAGGGTTTAGGGTTTCAGAAATGTGCTTGAAACTTTCATCGTTTTGGGTTCCCTAAACAATAGACTCCCTAAAGCGTAAACCCTAAACTCCCTACACCCTACCCTAAACCCTGAAGTAGCCCTAGATTCGCAGTCCCAAGCACCTTGGAAACTGGAACCCAAGAAGAACCGCTGAACCCTAAACCACCCGAAACCCAGGCTTTCGCTGCCGTGCTTTGAATGACCTTGCCGAAGGCCTGGCAAAGGGGCCGGGTTTTGGGCTGAGGGTTTAGGGTTTGGGGGTTTAGGGGTTTAGGGTTTAGGGGTTTAGAGGTTTAGGGTTCAGGGTTTAGGGGTTAGGGGTTTAGGGGTTGAGGGCTGAAGGTTCAGGGTTTAAAACTTATAAGTCTGTTTGGGATTTGGTTGGCTTCGCGATTGGGATTAGGTTCGATGGATCGCATTGAAGGTTTAGGGTTGAAGTGATTATGGGCATAGGGTGTAGGGCTTAGGTTTGGAAGCCCGTCCTAAACTCGGTACGTCTGTCTGCCTGCCTGGATGTATGTATGATAATGCATGATACCATAAACTCCAAGCGCCGGAAACCCTTTCTTCCGTAATTTAGGGGCCTAAATACTATTTTTTGTTTTTTTTGTTGGGGGGGGGGGGGCTCCTTATTATAACCTTACTATAAAGCAGGCCAAAACCTTGTTTGAACCCTACCCTAAACCCTACATTACTCTCTGCCCTCTGTCCGGTCAGGATGGGTGTCGCTCAAAGGCAATGCGGGAACCGTCTTCCTGGAAAGGCCAGGCCATGTCATGGGGTTTAAAGGTTTAGGGTTTGGGGTTTAGGGGTCGGGGTTTAGGGTTTAGGGTTGACTCCGAAACCGTTTAGTATAGAAGCCTAAACAACTACCAAGATTTATTCCCCAGGGTTCCTTCTTATAACTATATACTGTAAAGGAGCCCAAACCCTAGTCTAATTATTAGGGCCCCTACATTTCTTAGACACCCACAAAGGACATACGCACGCCTGAATACGCCGTAAAACTCTGGGGCGGGGATCCATATTCTGGTTTCTGGCAGAAAATAAACGCTAAATTGAAAAAAACATCCAAACACGAAATTCCTTAGTCAAGGTTTCTGGTGGGCTCTACCTTCTAACCCTACACTCTAAACCCTAAAACCCCACACTCTATAAAGCTGGGCCCTTAAATCCCTAAGCCCTAAGACTCTTGGAGTCTCCGGATATTCCTGGGGGTTAGGGTTTAGGGTTTAGGGTTTAGGGGTTTAGCGGTTTAGGGGTGTAGGGTTTAGGGTTTAGGGGTTTAGGGTTTAGGGGTTTAGGGTTTAGGGTTTAGGGGTTTAGGGTGTAGGGTTCAAACTAGGGTTTAGGGTTCGGGGTGTAGGGTTTAGGGTCTAAACTACGAACTGGGGTTTGCATTTTGGGGCTGGGGTTTTAGGGCTTTTGCGTCTCAATTAGGGGTTTAGGGTTTGGGGGTTTTAGTCTAGGACATTTTCAGGTGGGTAGTTACCGTTATAGGAGCCCTGTAGAAGGTCTATATACCTTATAGAGGCCTTATAGAAGCCCTATATACCCTAAACTCCCCACCTGTATTTCCTTTAATTTAGGGGCTTCCGGGTTGACGGTGTAGTTGGCTCGGATCTGGAGCCTTAACCAGTGCTCGAGTTCGACATCGGGCGGACCCTTCACCCCCAGACGCATGCTGAGCTCGTCCTCCTTGTCGGGATTCTTTGGTCTAAAAATTAGTCCCTATAGTCGGTACTAGGTACTTTGGGGTCAATGTGCATACTATGCGAGTACATGGTCCACTAGGTTTTAGTGCCAGTGCCTCTAGGCCGCAAAACAAAGCCAAGTGGACTGAAGGATTAAGGGTTTAGTTACTGTCACCCCCAAGCTTACCTGAGCCGCAGCACATAATAAGACAAACAGCAGCAGTGCCTGGATTTCCTGGTTGCAAGGGCCACTTATAACTCAATCTAAGTTTTCACTCTAAACCCTAAACCTTAAGACCCCAAACTCCTAAACGCTAAATCCTAAAAACCCTAAAACCCTAAAGCTTAAAACCCTCAACCCTAAATCCCTAAATCTTAACTCCCTGAAACCCTAAACCCCTAAACCCCGGAGTCGAATCCTCGGAGTCGAAACCCAAAGCCTTGAAGTTTAGGGTGTAGGGTTTTAGGGTTTAGGGGTTAAGGTTTTAGGGTTTAGGGTTTAGGGCCAAGTTTATTAGGGGTCTAGGGTTTAGGGGTTTAGGGTTTAGGGCTTTAGGGGTTTAGGAGTTTGGGTTTAGGGTTTGAGGGGTTTAGGAGTTCGGGTTTTGGGGTTTAGGAATTGGGGTTTTGGGGTTTAGGAATTATGGTTTTGGGGTTTAGGAATAAGGGCTTTGGGGTTTAGGAGTTTGGCTTTTGGTGTTTAGGATTTAGGGTTTAGGGTCGGCTTTAGAGTTTAGGGTTTCAGGAAACCGTAATCCCTGCAGGTGTGCCAAGCCATACCTTTGCTGCCGAGAGGTCTTTCCCCAGGGCACAGGGCTCTACGGCTTTACGGTTTTGGAGTTTAGGGTTTAGGAGTTTAGGCTTGAGGAGTTTATGATTGAGGAGTTTTGGGTGTTTAGGCTCTTGGACTGTTGGGGTTGTAGGATTGCTACGGTCTTTCCCGAAGTCCTAAATCCTGGAACTTTTACACCTGAACCCCAAACTGCTAAACCCTAAACCCTGGACCGTAGTCAGGGTTTGTGGGTTGAAGGCTTAATGGCGCGCGGAGGTTCAGGATCCACAGCTCCCATATATCATGTCCCACCTTCACGTTCCTTGAGGGTTGAGGCTGTACCTGGATCCTATAAAACCTTCTTTTCTGGGGTTCCTAAACCCTAAACCCTAAACCCTAAACCGCTATGATTTCCTGTTATAAAAGTCCTGAGACAGGTAGGTTATTTTTTGGATCCAGGCAGGGTTTGGCTCTGAGGCTGAGGGTTCAAACTCTGAACCCTAAACTCTTAGCCCTAAACCCTACACCCTAAGTCATAAACCCAAAGCCCTACACCGTAAACCCTAAACCCTACACCTTAAAGCCTAAACCCTACACCCTACACCTTAAACCCTAGACCTTGAACCCTAAACCCTAAACCCTAGACCTTGAACCCTAAACCCTAGAGCTTAAACCC